GGGGGAGTTGGTGGACGGTGGTGTCATATGTGTGTGTCTCTGTGTTTGTGTGTGTGTAGGCGTTGGTTGTGATGAATCGTCTTCGTTTGAGGGATTACTTCCAGGACCACGACAAGTTGCGCAAGGGGTACTGCACCAAGACACAGGCCAGATCCATCCTCAGCGCACACTTCGGGGTCAACATCCCCGAGGTCAGCAGACATGCAGGGACGGAGGGAGGCACAGACACACGGACACACGGACATGCAGACAGACCGACCGCTGTCTTGTCTCTCTGTGTGCGTCTGTCTGTCAGGCTGATTGGTTGGCTCTGGTGGCTCGTTATTCTCGTGACGACGGCATGTTCTGCTACGAGGCCCTCTGCGAGGTCATCGACGAGGCATTCACTGTCAAGGTCTGTCTGTCTGTCAGCCCCCTGTCCAGAGCCACACAAAAATGCATACGCACACACATCGATGCATAGCGTGCTGTTGCTGTCCACGACGGCAGGCGATCGAGAAGAACCCCGACAGAGAGGTCAACTACCCCACAGCGACCACCACCGAACCCGCCAGACGCAACCGCATGGACTACTCTCTTGAAGAACAGGTGGAGAGAGGGAGGATGGAGAGACACGTGCTGGGTGTGTGTGTGTGTGTGTGCTTTTGTGATTGATATGTCTGACAGGAGGAGTTGCATCAGCTGGAGGACGACATCCGCACCAAGATGCGCCAGACCAGGAAGCTCATCGTCCCCACCTTCCAGGACTTCGACAAAACACGACGGTGAGCAAAGTACAAGTGGGCCAGGCCGCCGTGTGTCCCCTCCCGGTCGCGTAGATCGATGCGATGCGTGTGTCTCGCTTGATGTGATAGGGGCCACGTGACGAAGGCCCAGTTCCACCGCGTCATGTCCATGCTCGGCTTCGAGCTCTCCAGCAAACAAGTCGAGCTGGTCAGCCGAGCCAGCCAAAGACAGCACAGAGAGACGCCAGACGAGACGTGTGTCTCATGATGAGATGAAAGGAGGGATGGTTTGTCTGTTGTGGTGCGGTGCAATGGAACAGTTGAGCCTGAAGTACTGCAACCTGGGCAACAAGAACGAGTTCGATTGGGTGGAGTTCGTCAAGTCGATCGACCCCTCAGACATTGTCGACGACGGCTTCAGAGTGGCTATCATTGAGGAAAACACCTACTTCAACAAACGAGGTACGGTACGCCTGGCTGTCGGCATTGTCGGCATTGCTAGATGTGTGTGTGTATGTGTATGTGTGTGTGTGTGTGTGTGATGGTTGGTAGGTCGTGTGATAGGGAGCCCGGAGAAGAATGAGATTCGGGTACACCCTGCCGCATTTGCGTGTTAGCTGCCTGCCTGCCTGCCTGCGCACCTAGCTATAACCGTGTGACTGCTATGAGCAGAGTGCTCACAATGGTGGGCTGGTGGGGTGCGTTGGTTGCATTCAAGTTCATGCGCACGAAGAACTCGTTCGCTCAAATGTTCCCCCACCCATTCATTCCGATCAGTCCAAGTGGAGTGGCCTCACACACATGCGATGCGGGCATCTGTCCATCCACCCATCCTCCCCGGATGGGCATGCCTGTCCCGCCCTCACTCATCTCATCCAAACCCCGTCAGTTTCTTCTTCTTCTTGGCCGCCTTCCTTGCTGCCTCCCTCCTCTGCTTCCTGTTCCCCTCCTGCATTGTCTGCAGAGCGGTCTCGTCGCCGCTCGCCGCCTTGTCTAGGTCCGCCCCGCCCATCATCTGCCGCGACATGAGCATCATCTGCCGACGCTGTTTCATGAAGTCCCGCACAAACCCCTGCACCTCCTCTATAGGCTCGTCGGTCTCGTCAGCCAGCCGCCTCATGCGCTGCTGCGCGCCCTTCTCCTTGGTGAAGAGATCGGGCGACTCACGCTCTTCCTCTGTCATGGCGTCGATGAAGGTGCGGTACTTGCGGAACTTCTTGCTCATGGTCTTGATCTGGTCACGGCTGACCATGTTGCTCATGCCGGGAATGTAAGACAGAAACTGCCCCACAGAGCCCATCTTGTTGATCATGTCGCTCTGCTTCATGAAGTCGTTGAAGTCGTATTGCCCTTTCTGAATCCTCTTGGTCAGATCCAGGGCGTCCCGCTCGCTCATCTGCTTCTGCGCCTTCTCGACCAGCGACACGACGTCGCCCATGCCGATGATGCGGGAGGCCATGCGTTTGGGGTAGAAGGGCTCCAGCTTGTCCATGCCCTCGCCGACACCCACGAACTTGATGGGCTTGCCAGACACACCCCGCACTGACAAGGCCGAGCCGCCTCGCGTGTCGCCATCCAGCTTGGTCAAAATGGCCCCACTGATGCCGATCTGCTCGTTGAAGGTCTGTGTGAGCAAAGCCGCCTCCTGGCCGGTCATGGCGTCGACCACCAGAAGCACCTCGTCTGGCGGCACTGCCTCTTTGATGCGCTTGAGCTCCGCCATGAGGGCGTCGTCGACCACCTGCCGGCCGGCAGTGTCCACAATGACCGTGTCATAGCCCTGAACCGACAAGAGGGAGGATGCGTGTGTGCTGCTGTTCGTTCCTCTTGGCATGCACTGCACCTGCTCCTTGGCGTATGCCACTCCCTGTTTGACAATGTCCACAGGGTCGACATCCTGCCCCATCGTGAAGACCTCACACCCAACTCTCTCGCCCAGTATCTGCAGCTGATCGATAGCAGCCGGGCGATACACGTCAGCAGCCACCAGCAGCACCTTCCGCGGCTTAGTCATGGTGCCCTTTCCCCCCTCCCCCTCGCCCCCCTCCGCATCTCCGCTCGCGTCAAGTCTCGTCTGGGGCGTCTGCAGGTAGAGGGCGAGCTTGGCTGCGGCAGTAGTCTTGCCGGCTCCCTGCAGCCCTGCCAGCAGAAGGACGGTAGGCTGGTCGGTGGCTGAGGTGGCGATGGGCGCCTCGTCGCCGCCCATGATGTCGACGAGCTCGTCGTAGAGGATCTTGACGAACTGCTGGGATGGGTTGACATTGTCGATGCGCCGCTCGCCTACCGCCTTCTCCTTCACGGCCTTGACCAGAGAATTGGCCACCTGCCAAACAGGAAGGAAGAGATCCATCCATCCATCCATCCATCCGTCCATGTGTGTGCGGCGACTGAAAGCTCTCTCTCATCCATCTCACCTGGAAGTTGACGTCCGCGTCGAGCAGCACTTTGCGCATCTCCTGCACAGCCTCCTCGATGTTCTCGGCCGTCAGCTTGTCGGCGCCGCGAATGGTGTCCAGAATGCCCGTGATCTTGGACGTTATCGAATCAAACACCATCGTCACCGCCGGCCGCCTCGATGGACCCCGACGGACAGGCAGGGATGGCGATGGCCGCCTTGACGAGAGATCAAATGCTGCCGGCCTTCGCAAGACAAACCGGCTTGCAGGCCGCAGAACGAAAGCGAGCGTCTGGATGAGGGGGAGGACTGCGAGAAGCAGCATGCTCCTCAGTAGATGCAGGTACGGCATCGAGCGCTGTGCACAGTGCCGTCTTGATCTGCATCGTCGCATGGTTGCCGGGCAAGATGGTGCGGGCGTTGCGCTGGCAGAGAGGCGGTGGCGGCTCTTCATCGGTGGCGGCTCTTCATTCCTTCTCACAGCCAGGAGGAAAATCTGCCGCTTAGCTCGCAGCCCTAGGGTGCTCCCTGAAACCGCTGCTGCCAGCTTCAATTGCATGCATCCGCTGATATGAAGGCCATCTGCTCGGTTCTCCGTCTCGTCATTGTGGCGGCGGCACTGCTTGTGTCTGATGGCCAGGCCCTTCCTCACAACCATGTCCACTTCGCCCCCGTGGCAACGCTCACCACTGCAAACGAGACGATGGCAGGCGTTGGTAAGATTCCCTGTACGGTCGCTTTCAAAGGGTGGATGGGAGAGGAGGACGGCACCCACAAGGATGAGTCCACAGGACAGTCCGTCCACGACAAATACTACCACCTCTCAGGCAGTGAGACGGACAGATTCAAACACCACGTCTGACTCTGTCACACAAGTCTGCATCATTTTGGCAGAATCCACCATCGGTTGTTGGAAATCCGACGGTTCACAGCTGAAAAAGCATGTCTGTGTCGTCGACGCCGTTCGCACTCCAGTTTTGACCACGAAGTACGTTTTCGGTGTGGTATCACGGATGTGACATTCAATTTTGGTGACATTTTCTATCTGTCAATCAGCACTGGTGACGGCGAGTGCCTTCGAGACCCAGACTGCGCCAGCGGCCCATACGAGGTCCCGATCGTCAAGTCCAAGGACGACGAAGCCAGGCTCAAGACTGAAAGCCGGATGGACGAAGCAAAGTGGTGCATGTCACCCAATGCGGTCGGTATGGATTCGAGAGGCACACCAGCATCAGAGCCCCCCTGTGGTGTGTAATTAGGAAACTTAGATGGTCGGGCAAGACGGGCCTTTGTATGGGATTAACATCGGAGACAAGACTTCGACCCCCAGGATCGATGCATTCTACCTCTTCCCCGGCCACCAGGATTGGAAAGAAGGTATGCCATTCCCGTGACATACGACTCTCTTATCAATCGGTCCGTGCGTGTCTCCATCTGCTTTTAGGACCTCCCGAAGACACAAAGAACTTCAGAAGAGGCTGTCACATTCCTGTTTGTCTGAATTTTTAGTAACTCTTGTTTGTGTGTGTGCAGTGGAAGGCTGCGATGCCTTCGAGAAGCAGTTCTTCACACACAAGCCATGCCCACTAAGTGGCGCCCACTGTTATGTGCACTATAGTGTCGGGAACACGTGCATGATCTTCGGATGCGACAAGGAAGGCACAGATGGCGTTCCGGTATGTATGCACATACAAAGTACAAACACCGCCATCCTTTGTCTGGAAATCTTTTCAGACAGCAGGAGAGACCGGGACGGAGTACATGTGGGGGAAAATTCCGAATCGGCGCAACTTTTGCACAGCATCCACAGCATCCACAGAGTGCAAGCTGCGCTCAGAGTGCAACCAAATGCCCGACGGTGTGAAGAAAGACCCCAACAACCCTCCTCCTGCAGCCCAGGTGAATCTGAACGAAAAAAGAGAAACCATCTCTGACCACACCCTTTCTTCCAGAAACAGGGCGGATACGAGTGGGAGGGCCGAGGCCCCAAGATCCATACTCAGCGACGTCCTCGGCGTGGCGGCCGCTCTGAGTCCACGACAACTGCTTACGACCCCCTCGGCATCGACGAGTGGCTGCCCGGCGGGGCTTTCCACAACTGGTGACATCCTGAATGAAGCCAAGGCAGCCCATTCTCTCTTCTGCCTGTCCTCAGGTGATCAACGGAGCACTCATCTACACAACCACATACCGATTGATGCGGGGAAAAGAGAAAAAAGGAGACAGACCGATTGGCGGAGTTTCTTTTCAGTGACTGCGTGAGTGAGCGGGCTGTCGGCGTACCTGTCTGTGTGACAAGAGAGGGCTGAGGCAAGAGAGAGAACCAAAGAAAAGAGACGGCAGACCATAGATGTTCAGAGATGTTTAGTCAAAAGGGGGAACACAAGAGACACGGAGAACAAACGAGAGACATCATTTTGGAGACAACACCCCTGTCTTCAAGGATCGTAGCGACGCGATTCTGCAGAAGAATAATATTTCCTGTCGGAAGTGGGGTCGCATGCCGGCGTCTCTCACCCCCAGTCACACGCACGCACGTCACTGGATCGCGCTTGTTGCCTGGTCATTTCACTCGTTCTTTGTCCGCGTCATTGGTGGACGCATTCAATTGATCGCTTCCATGCCCATCCACTCACACAGGCATGTCATTGTGTCTCGCCGGTTCATCGGTCTGTCTGTCTGTCTGTCTGTGTCTGTGTCTGTCGCCGCCTGTCTGCAGGAGGCCAACGCGTCCGCCCGTTGACGGAGGCACCTGAACCAATTAACCAGAAAGATGCCAGGCTGTACAGGCAGGCAAGTGGTCTTAACGAAAAGGAACCAGTGTCAAGCGAAAACAACCATGCTATCCACATCAATCACTCCATCCATCCGTGACACAATGTGAGTCAGTCAGTCAGTCACTTAGATCAGCGGTCCTGTCATCCTTCCCTCTCTCCCTTATCAGTCCCATCCCGCCCCTCTGGCTGTCTGTCTGTCTGTCTGTCTGTCACCCAACACACCTGCACACACCACACACACACACATCCAGGTGCCGATGGGCAGTTCTGGTGCCGCACACCAGCATCTCTTACCCCATCGGTATCTTTCTTGTCTGTCTAAGGGCTGTGGCAGCGATCCGCATACGCCCGCTTCTGTCCGCTGCCCTCACCCTCAGCACCGTCATCCCCACCGCTACCGTCGGCCATCTGCCGCACCGCTATCAGATCTGCCAGGGGGGCCCCCTTCTTGTGCAGAAGTGCCCTGAGCTGGCGGAGTGTCTGGTCGGTGGCATCTGGGCCGCTGGTGTCGGTGAGGCGGTTGAGGTGGGGCAGCCCGCCGTCGGGGGAAATGGACAGGGCGGACTTCAGCACATCAACCTGTCAAGAGAGGACAGCAGACAGAGAGAATGGATGGACTCTGTGTGGTGTCTTCCCTCACCCACCGGCATGTCGGTGACCTCAACCGATTCCATCTTATCAGTGTTGTTCATCCAGGCGCCCACATACACACCCAATGTCTCACCGCTGACAGACAGAGAACACACAGATCGGTGTGCCTGTCTCGAATGCGTTGTGATTGCGTACCGAAATTTCTCCCTGTTGATGTGTTCGGCTGTGCTGCTTTCGAGTATGCGGCTGGCGTCCTCATAGGCCACATCGGTGTGGTGCCGGTTGCCGAAGTGGGTGATGGTCGTCACGCTGCGGCTGAGATGAGGGCGGCAGCCGCCGGTCACCGTCAACGTCGTCAGATTCGGCAGAGACCACCGACACACATAGGCCACCTGCCCACCCACCACACACACAGGGAGACACACATGACTGGTCGGTCTCATTCTGTCTGTCTGTCCCTGACCTTAGTGAATCCGCTGAGGTTGGCCTTGTCCGATGGCACCACCACAGTCGTCAGCTTCGGGAACTCCA